TCAGTTAACATAATTTCAGTTTTTCTGCAACTTCAGATTTTTCTTTCAGAAAGTAAACATAATAATGACTGAAATCATCCTTGAAGAGCACGAAGTCTCTATAGCTACTTTTGGATTTTTCAGAAGGCCACAAACATCTGTGTGTAAAAGTTCTCCTGGTACCTTTGCTCTTTCTCTCGTTCCAAACTTTTTTCTGTGAATTTTACCATGAATAAAACCCTCACATATTTCGCTAAGGTCACCTTGAGGTCAAACTTTTGTTTTGATGACTAAAGCGTTCATCGCATAGTTGCAATAATAGACCGTGAGATAGGGCCTGTTTAGTGGAGTAATTTTTTTTTGTCTGGCATTTTGAGGGATGAATGTGACTAGTTAGCTAATGAGAATATAGGTGGTTTTAGTACCTGCCACCTGTTCGAAATGTCTACAGAATGTTTCGCCGGAAAACTCGACTTCGAACTGAGATTACCGTCTGACGATTTTTCAGCGATATTTTCACAACAAAAGCTTCCATTCTCTCGATTACCAGACAAAAAGTGAACGCGGAAGGTTCTTTTCTTTTCTCTGGCAAGTTGACACTTATCCCCACTTTTTCAGCTATTGAAAAGGATCTGGTATTTTTTATGGGTGAATTATTTATCAATATCAATCTTTTATTTAGAAGCCAAAAAATTTGAGATCATTAAAAAAAAATTCCTCATGTAAATCAATTTTTTTTCTTCTGCAAATTTTCGAACGGGAGGCAGGCATCAAAATCACCCATATTCTTATTAGCTTAGTAGCCACATTCAGCCCTCAAAGTGTCAGACAAAAAAAAATGACTCCACTAAACAGCCCCTATCTCACAGTCTGTAAGTTATCATTTGAAACTATGTCGATTTGAGCTGGTTCCTTTGGTTTCATGATCTGCATTGCTAGTTTGTACAGTCCTCCAAATCTACTTCTTTCACTTGTCAGTATGGTTTTACCATCAACTATAAAACTGCATTTTTTAGTGCTTGAAGTAAACTTTGATGTAGGCTGTAAATCTTGTGCATGTGAAACCGAAAATAAATTCTTTTCAATCAGAGGAACGTACCATACTTCTGATAACGTCAAAACATCTTCTCTGTCTTGAACTTTTGTTTGTACCAGAATCTTTCCTTTTCCAACTGCTCTAACCGTTTCTCCATTCGCTGTCGTTATGGTGTTTTAACTTGAAAATATTTAAATATTTCAGATATATGTAATATGACTTGTAGCCCCATTATCCACAATCCAGCTTTTCTCCTCACATTCGCTAGATAAGATACTACGTGTTAAGGCAACTTACATCATGTTTGTATTCTGATTTTTCTGTGTTCTGTTATTTCTTGAATTTGAGCTTTCTGGTTTTGGAGGTCTACCATCTTCTTTCCATTTAATACGTTGTTTGACCTTATGACCTTCTCTTTTGCAATAATTGCAAACAAGTGTCCTCTTATTGGTCGAGCTGCTTCTCGTTTCTGCAAGTAACGCCTCCTGATGACTTTCATTATTCTTGTCTGATAATGCCTTTTCATGAGAACAAAGCTGAATTAATAAATTTTCTATAGTCCTGTCAGATTTCGACATTAACATCCAGCTTGACTTGAAGGAGAAGTAGTTTTGGGGTGGAGTTCCTAAAGTCTTACAGGGTCCTTATTCTTGAAAAAGGGGAGCATTGTTCCCAGGAAGACCAGTGTTCCGTCATTGTTACTTATATTATAATTTCCATATCGTTGAGAAAGACAGAATACTCGTTCTCCTGGGAACGCTGCTCCCCTGTTTCAAGAATAGGGACTCAGATAACAGCAACTCGGGTAACTTACAATTACGTGTTTTATTTGTAATGATTTTGTCTTTTGATAACCCCTTTTGCAGCTCATTCCACAGGTTCTTGAGCTTAGACGTGTGCGTTGCCATATCATCTGCAACTTCCTTCTTATATTTAAAGAATTCTAAGCAAACATCATAGGTTTTGTCCTCGACATTACCATCAAAGAGCCTATTCAATTCAACCCACATATCTCTTGCTGTAGAAAACCTCATTACTTTTTGTAAGTTATCTTGTGTCATATTTATCGTGAGAGCAAGAAGTGCATTACAATCTGCTGTATTGAAACTCACCAGGCTTGCCTCATGCGCAGCAATTTCAACTGCTTACGCAATTTCTTTCAAAACTGGTAGCACCAACTCTCTTTCCATAATTTCAACTGCATTTAGAATACCTCTTAGAAGGATAGTAATTTTGTACTTCCATGTGGTCCAATTAGCTTCACCTTCCAGTAATCCTATATAAACTTTGCTTGGATCTATCCTTCAAAGTTCAATTACTTTTTCGTACTAATTCTGCCCTTGATATTTTTAATTTTTCTCGCCTTTTTCAACGCTCTGCTATCATGTTAAAGTTTGAGAAACCACGATTCAAATTAAGAGGAAAATACGAAATATATTTGACACACTAATACAAAAGTTATTAATTAATTGACACTCTCTCATTCACTTTGTTGAAATATAAAAATAAATGACTGGTCTTAAGACTTCCATAAAAATGTAGAATGTTCTTCAACAACTGACAGGCCCATGATGTTTCTGCTTGTGCTGCGATGGTCCTGACTCATCTTGCTCAAATCTGACCCGATCAACACGTACTATTTTCCAGATACAGCGATTTTTATTTTGGTTGCTAACTTCACCCTTGGTTATACACTGGAAGTAGGATCACTGAAACATGTTTCTACTTGTCCTGCATCATTCTGCTTTAAATCACACCCCAGCAACATGTAGTATTTTCAAGATCTTTATTCGTTTCCACTAACTTCAGCCTTGGTGACACATTGAAGCAAGATCGCTGGAACACGTTACTGCTTGTGCTTCTATCCTGCTTTAAATTCCAAATCATCAGCAGCACATCATCATCACCGAACCATTTCCGTCCGTTATCGGACATAGGACTCCTCTAGATACTTCTCTTTGTTCTAAGGGGTTGCAACCCAATTTATATTGAGTCTTTTCAGATCATCCTTCCATCTCGTGTGAGGTTTTCCTCGGTTTCGTTTGCCTGATTTCGGTATCCACTCTTAAACTTTTTTTTTCAAAACACTCAAATCAACACGCGGATTTTGCACACTAACACTTCCCGTATCACGCAATCTTTGTAAAACGGGCATAATGTTCTACCATCAGGTGGGTGCTCTTGGGAAATCTTTCCCTGTAAATTCTGGCGGCTAAATGGGCATTTTGCAACGATTCTGCTCAAACAAGTATCTGCATATTCGGCGTTTGTAAACATTTTATTTTCAAAAACGAAAGAATTACGTGCGTTTCCAATGCTGCAACTAACTGACATAAGACAAATCAAGTGTGTGAGTTGTGCTATGTTGCCAGATGTTTGGATACCGATTTACGAGTGCAATTTTCATGTGGTTTTTCAATTTTTTATCATAATTGTTGACTTCAAATGCATAATTACTTGATAATTGAATGAACTATATTTTTTTTACATCTCATAACGATTAAAATTTACTTTGTCTTTCAAGTATTCATCATAAAATTTCAAAACTTCAAAGGCCTATTTCTTAAAAATGGTTGAGTTTGGACCCCATATACTATAAACTTTTTTTGTCCATAATTTCACGTGTTAAAATTTTTGTAGTCAAACCTGATACACCCTGTACGTTTGCCGAGAGTGATATGCCTTAAAAATTCGGACGTTTGATTGTCTCTGTCAATTGTAATCTTATGTTCCAAGTAACAGTACAGTATAACAGCAGCTTCTACCTTTCCTTATACAGATTGCTGTTGACTTTGTTCGCGTAACACATCGCAACTACCTCCATTAGATGGCTTTGTAACTGTAACGGTGCAAAGAGATGTCGAGTGTGCTTTTTTGTGTCTCTCTAATGAGGCAGGACCATAGCAGCACAAGCAGGAATTCTTATTTTAGCGTTTTTGCTTCCAATGTCTTGCCAAGGGTTAGCAAACAAAATAGAAATGGATATATTTCGGAAACGGTGGGTGCTGCTGGGTTGCGGTTTGAATCCGAGCAAAGCAGTAATATTGCAGCACAAACAGAGGTGTATCCTAAAGATCTTGCTTCCAATGCTAGCTTTCTCGACATATAACACGCGTGTGCTCGTAAATGTGACAGAAATAAGTAGTTGTGTTTCATAGAGAAATAATATGTCCGAAAATGCTTCGCTTTCCAGATACAGGGTGTTAAAATTTGTAAAGAAGCCAATTTCTTCATTAATTCTTAAAAATGCATTGAACGATTTAAATGAAATTTTCATAGTTTGTTGACACCTTTATGGGGTATCTGTTGGACTCGGCTCAGAGTTGACCCAGTCATTTCAGAGGCGTGCCATAGATTATGTCGGATGGTTTTTTGCACGACAAATATCGTACAGTATATTCATTTTTAATTGAGACATGTTTTTTGAATAAAACACTTAAAGATACAACTTTTTTGTCTCTTACCGTATGCTGCTTTGTTTTCGAGATTGAATTTAGAATCCATTTTGGGCAAACCACGAACAGTCTTCCATTATTTATGGGGGGCAAGCAGTTCTGCGCAATCTCAGAACCGTTTCAGATTTCGAACCAAACCAAAGCTATCATTTCATGAACCCCTGGGGTTTAATTTCATGTTTGTTTTATCTAGCAGTCGATACAAATTCCCTTTCTTATAGGGTATTTCTAAAGAATTGGTTAATGTGGAGTTTGAGTTAGTAACATTAACTGAAAGCAATTATTAATATATTATTTACTGATATGTGTCGAACTATTTGGACCAACCCAGCTTTTTTGTGCACTAAAAGTACCTACTAGTATCAAATGCTGTGTGTGAAACATGTGACATCAAAACTACGTTACTCTAATGATTATATTGATCATAAACACTTCATGTCCGACGTGGTACTCGATTAAGCAATAGAATAATGAGTAATTTGCGGAAAAAAACACCATGTCAGTATAGTAAACTGTAACAATTATTTCAGCTGACGAAGAAGAAAAACCAGCTCAGCATAAGTTAACTAAAGAGGCGAATGTAAACTCTGCGGGTGCTACGAGCAAATCTGACCAAAAGGATAAAACTAGTAAGCAATCCAAAAAAAAATCTTTCAAACATTTGTTAATTAAATATTTTTCTTAGCCGATATTACTGAGTTATCAACAGGAGATGCTTCGACAGAAACAGATGAAAACTCAAAATCTGCGATTCTTGAGGGTAAGTAGACTTAAAGAGGTTTTTCAAAAAATCACAAAGGTGTGTTTCTGCCAAAAAAAGTTGACCGAAACCTGACCAGAGTTAAGTTCTTTATAAATTATCTTTATTTTAGTCGAGCGAATTCAAACTTCTAACTCTATGAAAATGAAGCAGCTCGCACAATAATTAATCCACAAGTGGTAGAAACGCGCCTTCAATATACTTTCAAAAGAAAGATTATTTATTTTATTCTAGATCTCAAAAATATTTTCTTCGCAATTGTTTCACTATCGAAAAATTTATTAAACTGGAAGGCTCTACTAACTTTGGTGTTGTTGAAGAATTTAACTGGTAAGTTTATTAAACTGGGATTGGCAAAAATTACTAGTCTGTGATTTTATCATTATATTTTAGGCTTCAATGCACTTAGTGGGAGTAGGATTGCCAAAGGAGCTAGCAGGCATAGCAGTAAAACTGCCAGAAAACCGAGAGCAAAACATGTAAATCATAAATTGTGGTCCATGTTGTTGTAGAATGGTTTAATAAAACTTGACGGAAATTATACAGTTTTTTGTGATATTATCCTATTGAGTATTGAGGCATAATTGCCTTACTATTGAGCCTTCTGTATAACTCAATGGATGACATCAAATCCATAAATACAAAGCTTCTATACTAGCCAAAAAGATGATGTTAATAAAGTCCTAGCAAGATTAGATTAGCCCTTGAATATCCACTAAAACGAGCACAAAATTTTGTCTTAATCCAGTTTAAGTTTCTATCAATAAGCATAAAGAGATGATAAAAAAATCTACTAAAAACGTCTTATGCATTTTCCTTACTTATTACATGAAAATTTACCCGGAACATTAAGCTTGAATAGCCCATTAAATGAGGAAAAATGGCATCGAAACGTGACTTTAAGGCTAACTTTATTATTTCTCGTAAAATTCATTATCAAGATAAGAACATTTAAAAGCTGAAAAATAGGTATTATATTATATTTTGTTCTATGTGACTAAAAAAAAAATGGTAAATAATATGTATTACTGGAGAACCGCAATCGCTTTGGGGCTGATAAGTGTTGCAGTTGGTGAGTAACAAACTTGTATGCAAAATATAATAATTAGGCTAGACTTGATTAGCTTTTTGATTTTACTGATATGGATTTCTGCACCACTTATTCAAAAATTTTTTGTTCTATGTCTGGCGTGAGGTCATCCTTGAACAATTTTATGTCAAGTTCAGGAACTATTGCGATCAGAAAAAAGTAGTACAACAAAAAACTCCAAAATCTCCTGGTCTATTATACAATAATTTAATTTATAACCAAAATGACATTAGTTTGTTGACAAATTTTCTTCCTATAATCTGTCCAACGAAGCTACGGAGTAATCAAATTACTTAACCTTCTAGAGGTTCGTTACTATTGGTCAATTTCCAGCTGGATTTACACTGTACAGTAAAGGGCGGGTATACAATTTAAAATAAATGGGATAAATCAGAATATAATTTCAATTGAGTGGCGTACGCTTAGTTTAGGTTTTGAAATTTTGTTTTCCAAAATGATTGTATTGCATTTTTTTATTTGATCATTTCACTAGAGTGTACGTTTTTCATTTATTTAAGTGTTTGTAGACTGCGAAAATATTCTATAATGATTATAGGTACCATCGTCACCAAAAGTAACTGCGACAGCATCATTTTAGCTCTTGCACTATTATATGAATTTTATTGTCAAGTATTTGTCAAACTATAAATCAAATGCATTGGAATAATTGATTAGTGAATTAGTCCAGGAGATTATTATGCATTATTTTTGTCCCAGATACTTTTGGTGAAGATGGTACGTGCGAGGAGGGTCAAATTTACTTTTTGACGTATTTTTTGCTCCTCTATCCGATAGGTTTTTTTTTTTTAGGAATTCGATATTTGAGTTTTTTCGACAAAAAAATTCAAAGGGTATAGCCTTCGATTTTTTTTTTTAATTTTCAAACCGTCCAAAACGAAAAGCTTGGGAGAAAAACTTCAAATGTAAAACTTATAGATCTCATCGAGTATTACAAAAAAGCCTATAAGAAGTATCCCTCCAGGGGGCACCGTTTTCGAGAACATCGACCTCGAAAATTTTAACAAAATTACAAGAAATTTCAACTTTGACGGCCAATATCTCAAAGACAAAAACGGTCTGGAATCTCAATAAAAAAATATTTTGTAGATAATTTCATCCTCTTTCAAATGAGATATGACTCGACCCGTGGGCCTAAAGTAAATGAAAATTTTAAAATGTATTGTATTTTTTGACTTTTACTTTCGGCCCACGGGTCGAAAGTAAACTTTCGACCCATGGGCCGAAAGTAAATGAAATTGTTAATTATTGTATTTTTTAGTTTTAATTCAAATGAAAATTTCAAAATTCGAATGATTGTAAATAAAATAGTATACATACCTCGGTGAAAAGTTTCATTACTGTCTCGAGATTTCAGTTAGACCTCGGCTGCGCCTCGGACTTAAATCTCTCGACAGTAATGAAACACTTTCCACCTCGGTATGTAATATAGGTACTATTCCATCTTGAGGTCATATTTGACTCTATATGTCTGTACTCATCTGTATTGTCGAGGAAAGTTAAAATATCACAAATATAGTGTTTTGTTATTTACAATAATGAGAAGGAAAATTTTAGAATCACTTCACAAAGAAAATGTTAGTAGTTTTGGAGGAGAACTGACAATTTTTGGTCCACTGAAAAGTATCGAAAGTGAGACGCCTAGTCAAAGTGAAGTATATATTCATACAGTTTTTGACCTTGCGAATCCCATTCCGTACGAATTTCTATTTGCAATTTTATCGAAACGAGCCAAAATTTTGAATTTACACTAGCAGAGTTACACAATATGAAAGACAACTGCTTGACAAACGCAATGCTGTATCAGAAGCTAAACGATAAATATGGCTCCGATATCTCTATTCAACATGAGCGGGGTAAGTCATCCATTATTCGTTATAAATTTTTTAATTTTGGGGACATGTGCAAGAAGTTTTATAGAGGAATTGATCTTCTAGAACCTGAAAAGTGAACAGTTTTGAAGGTCTCTGCTGAATTGTTGAAAACAGGTATAAAAAAATACGAATATGAAAACAGTAGCTACCCACCAGGTACGGAAACTCTCAAAGATGTGCATAAATATATCAATCCCTCGCACATTTTTTAGATAAATTACCTACTTGAAAGTGAACAGAAACGAAACATAGATCGATGTGAAATTAAACGTTCTACATTAACATGCCATGATATCATGTATTCGTAGCCAGACGTTTGCTAGCACTAGGTACCTATGTGTACCGAAAAACTGGTTCACAACAAGTGATAGATTTTTTGGATAGAATGGGCATATGCGTCTCATATTATCAATCAGTGCAATACAAAAATTCTATGGTGCTAAATCCTTCAGAAATGATAATAGAGGACGGGGTCCATATTAAAAAAATTTTTCGACAATACTGACCATAATGTTAGCACTTGAGATGGGCATGAAACGTTCCATTGCCTAGGTGGTATTTCTCTTTACACCCCTTAAGAGAGTGTTCACTTTAAAGGCCGAATTCAGAAAGTTGCACGACATAATGCTGCGAGATCTGCAGCAGTTTCAAAAAAAGAGTGATAGCTGTAGAACTTTTAATACCTATTTGGAAGTACCAGTCGTTCTAGTGACTTAACGTATGTCGCTTCTTGGACAAAAATAAAATTAGGTTAGGAATTTCCTATTTGTACATGAAATTGACATATTAGCAATCGACGTTCGTTTTTCTTGGTAATTTTATGTTGTTGTTCGTGATGGATAAATAAGGATGGGGTTATTTTAAATGGGTATTAAAAATACTATATAGCAACCATTTCCTACACATATTTCCATTCAAAAGGTTTGGAGCCAGTTGAGTATATTGACACTACCACATTTGATTTGGCAGATTCATCACACAATACCAAAGGCTTATTTTGTGTACTTGTGGGCAGAGGCGATTGGCATTCCGAAATTGCCCAATTGGTCAGGATACATGGAAGTTTTATCCCAAGACAAAATTGCTTTGGTATCGCGTGTGGTGTGCTTGCCGTTTATTAATGAACCACCTTCGAACTCAACTACAATTTACAAAACTCTAAATTGCGCACAATTTAAATCTCGGAAATTGAAGCAAAAAAATTGTTTTTTTACTTTCGATCAGCCACTTTACCATAAGGCACGCATAATTGTTGCTGAATCACAAGAGAATGGGAAATTGAAGAATGTAGTCGTACGCCTCGGTGGCTTCCATTACTTGATGTCTTATCTTGGCGCCGATGGATATATCATGAACGGTAGTGGACTTGACAGTCTTTGGTCTACTGTATATGCTTCTCAGTCTGTGAAACATATGCTTAGTGGTCATGCATACTGGAGAGTAATGCGAGCACAATGGCACTAGGCATTTCAATTTGACAGTCTGTAGAAAATTACAAAACTGAAAATTACAAGAACTTCATCAATTCCTTCCTTTTAAAATGGCACGCCGATCCCTCCGAACCGCCTACTATTGGCGAATGTCGGTTTGATCCAACAATTGCTGAGATGGCCGATGACTTTATCGCCCAAATTGATGGTTTAGGAAATAATGAGCCAACTGCCAAACTGTGGCTACAATATTTTGAATTAATAATCATTGCATTGCAATTTGTGGAAGCAGAAAGGTTAGGGAATTGGAAACTGCATCTACAAAGTGTCAGGAAAATGTTACCAGTGTTTCATGCAGCTGGTCACTTACACTATGCGAAAAGTAACTATATCCATAGGATATGATGAAATTAGAAATGGAACTTATAGACGATGAGGCGTCCATTTGGTTTTCCAAAGAAGGATATTTCGCCGTGAGAAGATCCGATAAGACATGGGCAGGGATATGGACTGACATGACAATCGAGCAAACCTTGAATCGATACTTTGGGACAGATTTGAAGCATGGAAAAGGAGTCACGTCGGGGGTGCTCGCTCGATACTTATTATAAATACCTACAATATTTAGTGTAATGGCATCAGTAGAAGAATATTTCCAAATCACAACTTCATCGAGTGAACAACACAAGGATATCGGCTCTTCTCGACAAAAACGGGATGAAGGGGACTTGACAAAATTTTTATTCTGGATAAATAAACATAAACCGTCCGAACTTGATTTCCCTTTCTACAGGGATAATAGGTGGTCCTGAAATCAATTGTCACAAAGCAATAATTGATAAATAAAATACCTAATGCTCACGATGGTTGGGAAAAATGCTAGAAACATTTCGCTTTGTATGAAGAACAGGGTAAAAACTTTAGAGTCGGCTAAGGCGGGTATGCATGTAGGTGGAGAATCGCGAATTAAGGTAGACTCCACACAATTATTTCACCGCATCTCAGTTATGTTGAAAAGTGATGAAGAGAACCAGCAGCAAGCCTTTAATTTTGAACTTTCGCCTTTTCCGTTCGATGACAAAAGATTCATGAGGAAATGTCAAAAATCTGAGTCGTATAAAGTTTTTAAACCATACAAGCTACCCCAAGGGATAAGTTTAGGATTATTCTTATGCAACTTGACGTGTAGTAGATGGCGGCTTCTTATTGCATAATATAAGTTGGCCTCACGGATCTACCTATCTAGAACCTTTTGAGAACTACCGCATCCATATTGTTTCTTACCACCGAATGCATGGGTCATATTTGACGGTTAAACAACAATGAGTTCATCGGCACAAAGTCATATGAAAGGCGCAACGAAAAAAATTACGTAGAGATACTGGAATTTCCGAAGACATCCTGGTAACTTTGAAGCAGGCAAAATTTATTTCCAATATGGTCAACAAGTTTCAATTTGTTAAACTTCTCGACTCAAAGGAATATAAATGTAAAAGTTGCTGAGGAAGACGCAGATACTCTAATAGTTAAACCATTGCCATAAAGGTGAATAATTTGGTTGAGGGTCTAGTTGCTGTAGTAGGCAACGATACTGATTTATCGGTTCTTCTCATTGCGTTAGGTAATGAGAGAAAACCAATATTCTTCAATAAAATTACTCCAAAAAATGTTAAGTTTTACTTTTATTAATAGAGCCTTTAAGTCCTGTGATAATTATTAGTGCCCATGCCTATATCTGAAATGTATTTGTGGTAAGCTTTGTTTTAAATACACTTTCTTTTTTTTATACTTGGCTCTAGTTTTGATTCTCACCCCTTCATTACTCCCAGGTTCGACATATGGTGGAGGCTCCACAAATTTTGGAGTTGCAGGGCGTATAACTTCTGATGAAACTTCGTGAATTGTTGAATTCACCATTTTCATATTTCTTCCTAAATCTGGGTTAGATATTCCTTTGATGTATTAGAGGTTGTTCTGAGTAATCATTGAGTCCTGCTCCCAAGTTATGTTTTTTCTATTCGCTAAAGCATCAATCGCTTCTCCAGGACTTACAAAGCAAAAGTTTAAGTTAGAAAAAAAAAGTATCTTTTTTTCAAGATACTTTGAACTCTTTCCAGTTGGACATCTGTTTCGTTTCTTTGACGGAGAAAAATTAACATCAAAATAATTTAAAATTGGGAAGAAAATATAATATAGTATAATCAGTAACAGAGCTGGGCAAAGCACTCGAAAAAAGTGCTTGGAGCACCAAGCATCAAGCCCTTAGGAAAAGGAATTGCCAGCATCAAGCACCAAGCACTTTGGAAATTTTTAGTGCTTGCAATTACCAATTACCAATGAAAATAATTGCACAATTCAATTACCAAGCACCAATTACTCAAAAAGTGCTTAAAATCATTGTTGATTACTTGCAGGTGCTTGCAAGAACTTTTTTCTCCAATAAAGAGAAGGGCGGCGCGGCCCGGCTTGCGATATCACGGGCCTTAAAACAACACAAATGTTTCCATATTGCCGACGCCGAGACGGTCTTCAACCAGCCAATCACATTAAAGCTTATGCTGCGTTAAGTTGTTACCAAGGACTTGTTTTTTAATGCTTGCAAGCCTCTAGAGTGCTTGCAAGCTCTTTTCAGTGCTTGCAAGTACTTTAAATGGCTTGAAATGCGAAAACCAATTACCAATTACCAAGAAATTTTTATAGAGGGCTTCGATTACCAATTACCGAGCACTGTATTTTAAAATGGCTTGCAAGCACTGTGCTCGAAGCACTATTGTGCTTGAAGCACTTTTTCAAGCACTTTCAAGGCAATTACTGCCCAGCTCTGATCAGTAATTACTATAAGAATTTGCTAAATTGACCGCACTTATTCAGGAAAAAGTAGGAAAATTATACTAGCACTATTTTGATTCACACGTTACCCCAGAAAGAAAAGAAAAAAACAAAACGTACAAAATAATTACATCAAATAGGAAGATTTGGCGAAAGGGAAAGAACACGGTACCTCCACCATATGTCGGACCTGAAGGTAATGAGGGCGTGAGAAATAAAACTAGAGCCAAGTACAAAAATAGGAAAGTGTATTCAAAATAAAGCTTACCACAAATACATTTCAAATATGGGCATGGGCACTATTAATTATCACAGGACTGAAATGCACTATTAATACTGACTAACTAACGCGGATCTTCCTCGGTCTGTAGACTACCCCTTCATCTTCCAATAACCATTATTTTTTAATAATAACGCGACCATGATGCGTGATCGCTGATTATAACAATTACCGGTGAACTGTCGTTGACATTGACCTTCCATGGGTTCAGGTTCCTCATGTTAATTAATAATCCGTTCAACTTGTAACATAATGTTATTTGAACGTGAAGTGATTAATGATTTTCTCGAAATCCATGAACCTTTTTTCGAAAATGATTGGGTTCAATTAACCGAAAGGCGAGATGCCCTATTATCCTAGATATGACAATATTTTAGATTTCTTGTGGGTGTACAATCGACTTTTAGTTTTAGCGCTTGTTGCAAATTTAAGAAATCTGGCATGCCATGCTCAAGGTATTGTAAAAATTGTAATGGCGTCAGTTGCAAGAAACCAATCACGTGAGATCTTCAGCAGGTAATGACATGGAGGAGGTGCTGGACGAATTTGAATGTCATGAGGATGATGTTCCTGAATGCGAACAGGACAACGAATTTGATGAGAAAGACGACATCAACAAAGAAATTAACTAATATCCATAGGAATAGCAAGATATCATATTTATCAAGAAATTATGCGGCTTTTAATTATTACTTGAAATTATTTTTTTTTTTTTCGTCGTTGGCTGAGTGTAACCATATTTTAACCAAAAAGAGCTGACTGAAGTTTTGGAACAATAAAACGCATTTTTCTAGGGTATCATTTAAAGACGCATAAGCCAATAAAGTTGATTTTTTCCACCATAAAACTACAGTTTTATTTACCCACTTCCTTTTTTTTAATGAGCTTTTGGATTATTTAATACAACAATAATAAGCCACAGAATAATTATTATAGTAGTAGGTACCTGAATCTGTTTTTTACCATTAATTTAAATATCTAATTTGTTAAGCTGGCATGAATGACAATGTGCTCTGATTGGTTGGTTGGTTTTTTTAGATTCGCCTGCAAAGACAAAGGAAACCTTTTATCAGAAGTGACTTAAATTTTGCATAAACATTCTTTGATCGATTACCTACAATACCAATATTTTAACGAAACCAACCAACCAATCAGAGCACATTGTCATTAATGCCCCCTTAAACACATACCTACATTACGTAAAAAAAACCCAATGGAATAATCTACCTACGCCCAAACAAAAACAAAAAGAAATCGGTACATCGCGTTTGGCATTTAAGTATGAGAAAACCGGGAAAATAGACCTAAAATCAAAAACTCTTTTTTGCGTGAGCGGATTTAAAAAAAAAAGTTATAACCTTAGCTTATAACTAATGAGTGTGAAATTTGAATATTTAAACACACGGCAACCCTGCCTTCACTGCGTGATCACGAATTTTGAAGGGGGTAAATGCACCAACGCTGTATTTGACCGTTTAAAAATCCTTATAAAAGTCGAAACTTTCAATCGAATATAACAGCATAACGGCTGAGTTTAGAAGAAAAAAAAAAAAAAAAATTTTAATTAGATTTTTTTTTCTACTACATTCATATAGAACTTTTTATCGAAAAGTTCCCCGTTTTCCAAATAAAGTAATTTCAACCCTTAAATAATTTTTTTCAACCTCTTCCTGGCGGGAAATTTTAAAAATTCGTACGAATCGTACGGAATCGGATTCGCAAGGTCAAAAATTATATGAATATATGGTTCACTTTGTCTGGGCAAACGAGTCCAAAGACGACACATTAGATGGCGCCATCTAGAAGGGGTCTTAGGAAGAATAAGTGGCAATATTAAGGTGAAATTTATTTTAATGTATCTTTTCAAGGAAAATGATTTTTCCTACAGCCGTACGGAAAAATCGATTTTCCGCACTGATATGCGTGCGGAAAATGAGTTTTCCCGCACGGTGCGGTAAAACTTTTTTTTTTGACATATCAGTGCGGAAAAAGTTTTTCCGCACGGCTGTCAGTGCGGAAAAAATTTTACCGCACTGACATGTCAAAAAAAAAAAGAAAAATTTTACATTTTTTCGCCTGTAGGAAAAATATTGTACCTAACACTTGCGGAAAATATTTTTCCGCACTCGGCTGCATCACCGAACTCCGCTACGCGTCGTTCGGTGAACGGCAGCCGCGTGCGGAAAAATTCATTTTCCGCACTTGTTAGGTAAATAGCTATTTCCGCACTCGGCTGCATCACCGAACTCCGCTACGCGTCTTTCGGTGAACGGCAGCCGCGTGCGGAAAAATTCATTTTCCGCACTTGTTAGGTAAATAGCTATTGCAAAATTCCTTCGTTTCTTTTTTCCTGATTTCTGTGGAAGTATGTATTTGGAAAATCTCGAATGTCTATTGTCTAGGCTGCATTTTATAGAGCATCAACCTTCGCTACTCTTGCACCTATTTGATTAATGGTTGCTGTTTTGTCACTGCTACTTGAAAAAAAAAACTAATGTGTTATTCAGGCTAGGGCTCAAGGCCTGCCGGTCATTACTGAAATAGAGGGCGCTGATGGTGAAACTTGTCGACTTTAAACTCGTCATTAGAAAGCATTTTGTTTGCACGGCACTAACAAAGCTAACCTAGACAAGTGTACAGTTTACATTTGGCTATCAATTCTAGCTGGTTAACAAGTTTGTACAATGGCTTTAGTATAAGCATAAAATCAATAATTTTTGTTCAGTTTTAGGTGAAGACGATGTGGCACCGGCTACATTCACAAACTATGGAATATTCTACAATATCATAGGTTTCCTATTTCCACCACTTATTCCTTTCATCACTCTAGTGAAGTTGATTACTAAGTTATCAGAGCCAATCCGAGGAATACTTTACTATCTAATAAATTAATTTAAAATGGTGCACATAATAAATAGTGAGTTTGATTCAAAAATTTGAGTTTTGCTTTAATTCTATTATTCAGGTTCAGGTTATCTTACCACGACAGATAATTTTAAAACTTCAAAAATTTGTAACAGTTAAGTTCAGATATAGCCCTAAAATAAGTGAGTCAAGTCAAGTTACTTATGTATCTTGAACCCAAGAATATGTTTATTACTCCAACCAAACAGTAACGAAAATTCTTACCGGAACACGCCTGAGGTGGCAACGGGAAAATCAACGTGGTACTGCTCTTGCGCCGTGCCACCGCGCAACCCAAACTCTGAGGCTTAAAACTGCGCAGCTGCTGCATGAAGTCGCTGCACTCCATAAGTGCCACGTCCGCGAAATGTAGATCGCACAGTATTTGATTCTTGAACCTTCGCGCCCGTTTTTGGTTCGGTCCGGTCAGGTTGAGACCGCACGAGTTGCAACGCAGACATTCTTCGTGGTAGTGGTTATTTTCGTATGCGGGCGTTGGTTCTAGAATAAAAAAGGTGATAATTATTGTATATAATAGGATTTTGAGATTTTAACTAAACCGGTTTTATAACATTGCAAATGTTACTTGTTCTTTTTTCTTTCAAATATAATTTTATATTACGAATGGCGGCTTGTATAGAGTTTCATTTATACCTTTTATAATTTTTTTTTAAAATGGAATCTACTTTATGATCAATTAACACAATTAATTGATTTTTTTTCCTGATATGACATTCAAATATTTGACATTTCAATTTCGTATTCTTGACACCTAAGTGAACTTTAAATACTTATTTCCGATTTTTGATTTACCGTATCTATAAATTTTCCCTCTAGTTTACTTTTAGTAACGCCATATTTAAAAAATGTACTCATATTTTATCATCAATCAGTAATCTGAACAGAAGTCAAGGTTGGACAACATGCTCTAAATTTAAAATTATTGAGTAAGTACCTGCATCGTCGAAAATTGATCAAGTTTTGACCTGGGTCATTTGTGAATTTTTAAATTATTTCATCTCATTTTCAGGTGATATTTGGCAGTGGAACACTAGTATTCTCATAAGTACATTTGTTTATAATGGCTGAGCTAGAAGCTAAGTTGAAATGATTAATATCACAGCGAGGAATATTGAAAGGTCAATTGACTCGTTTTGAGACATTTTTGATATGAACGTTTGGCTAAATGCTATTCCATATCTGACAATTTTGATGCCATACAGACCGAAATAGATCTAATTGATGCTACCTAATCTGCGGTAAGGGTAACATTTGAAAATAATTATAAGTATAACTATAATATTTGTGGGTTTCTATTAAATCTTCTGACCATTTAACCCAATTTTTGATTTCATACAGGTGTAAGTTGATTTTATTGAATTTATTTTCTAAGCAGAAGTTGACCATATTTATCAATACAATTTTCAAATCATTCATTTTTTTTTTTCATCTAGTTTTCTGCAAACTTAAATTTTCTATATTTTCATTTCATGATAATGATATGGCCAGCGACTGTTAATGAACTTATATGGCAACTTTATTGAGGTACATTGTAATATTATTTACCACCACTGCACCATTGGCAACAGTGGCCACTGCTTATTATTATAAAAGTGAATATTTAACATCAAAAAATTAGGAACAAAACGATTCGGTTTTTCAATTTCGAAAAAAATCATTTTAATTTCAAATCAAAAGCTCAACAACTACAACTGATTATAATTAGCAAACATTTCCATAATACGACCAAATATTCTTTTTCTGAGCTGCGAGGTTTTCTCGTTGGTATAGATAGATTTCAGCATCTCTTTTCTCCGAACCGGCTTCTTAAGATATTTAAGATTACCTGGTTTGGTCTCATCAGATGTTTATTTTTCTGAGGTCCCAACAATATACTTCCAGCCTGAATCATTGGGTGATTTGCGGAATCATGTAATTACTAATTGCCACCAAATTTCACCAGCAATATCACGTAATGCAAGTCAACGCTCTCAACATAATATTTTATTTTACTGCGGATTGGGTATTATGTTTTTGAATTTCGGAGAGAAACTGTTTGTGCACGAGTTATATTTCGATAGAGAGAATATTCCTTATGCGAACTACGCTGGATTTATTATGATAAATAAATTGTCAATATATTCATGATGTCTGTGAACCGGTGTACACCCAAATGCGGACGTGGAGAAATTCGCGAACTGTTTCACGAAGAAATTTTGAAAATAATGATTTTCTGCTTTGCGTTTATGCATTCGAAATATTCTCGGGATTCGAACGCATTATTTCTTCAAGGGTGAAATGTATGTAATTTAGGCCCGGTTTAGTCATCTCCAGATACACTGGAACTCTTCAGTAACTGTTTACAAGACAAATATACTAAACTAGTATCTAGCCGACCAATAGGCTCATAGGTTTCTATCTTTTAGCTTGCAGACCAATTAAAAAATTGTATTTGAAATTACATCAAATTATGGGAAGATTACCTAGTAGTTAGACACTCAAAAAAGTATCGGTACTTTAATAAAATTCAAAATTTGGGTCAACTATACTCAAGAAATTGCGAACGTGTGTCGAATAGGTATTTCTTATTTAGTTCATAACTTATATCAGGTTTTATCAAACAGACATTACACTAAAAAAAATGTTGTGTCAACTAGGAGAACGATCAACGATCCACCTCCGGTGTATCCCTTCCAATTAGGTTGCCAAGTTGTTACGGATTGACTGATATTTTATCCTCTTATGACTTCAAAGGGGCTTAAAGAACAAAAAAGATTACTGTACTGGCAACGCCGGTTTTGTGAAATAGGCGGAACACGAGCTGCAATTGATTGGCATGTGAACGCGCATATCGAACGTATATCATATGAGTTAGAGGCAAAAAGATAGATAAACGAGTTGCACCTTTGCGCATTACTTCATTATTCTGGTCAAATAAATGAAACGGGTTCAGAGAGGAAGCCGGGTCTTGTTTCCACCTCTGATGCAACCCCACCATGACCCCCTCGAGCCCAGCTCACTTTCGCTGGCAAGTGGTTGGGTCTTATCATCACAACAAACATCAGTTTATGAATGAGATGCGGTGGCTGCCTGATACATAGGTATCTGTACCTATACCTGCAATTTTTTGAATGAATTTTTAACTAATTTACAAGTTATTGTCATAATCTATTATTAAAACGTGTATAGTATTTACAAAGTCAATTGAAACAAACTAAAGGTAAATTACAAATGGTGATTGAATATTTTCATAAGAAATGCACTGCCACTAGTCAGCCACCAGTTGCAAATTACCTTTACCTTGTTTCAACTGACTTTGTAAATACTATACCAAAGGAATAGAATAGTATATTACATGCGGAGGTGGAAAGTGTTTCATTATTGTCGAGAGACTATGGTTGACCGAGGTGCGAAGCGCCGAGGTAAACCAATTCTCGAGACAATTATATGAAAACTTTCCACCGAAATATGTATACTATTTTATTTCGAACCATTAATTGTTGAAAAAAATAGGGTAAAAATATGACAAAAATTGAATTTCGACTGACACCACAGATACTGACACTCTAACACTGACATCGACATCTTATGAAATTTCAACAATATAAACATACATCTACTTCTACAATAAATACAAACATTGCACCTGAATTTGTGTTTAGGTGTGAACGAACAATTTATCAGGCCGAAAGTGAGAACTGTCACTTTCGGCCTGCTTTAAAGTAAATAAAAGTAAAGTGACATTTTCGAATCTTCAAACCAGTAAGAAATGTGAAAATTACGAATATGGTTCAAAATAAAAATTCTTACATATTCAAAAATATGGATAAGACTGTGATAATTAGAGAGTTATTTCTGTGACCAGCAGGTACGCTGAAATAGAATTGAAGCAGAAGAACAAGCTGGGTCTAGGGCTGGGAGATAGACTTTGACAAGTGATTGGAAAGAAAATAACATATGGATAAGAATTAAATTTCTATATGCTGCACAACCACAGGAATATACAGCCAAAGGTTTTCGAAGTCGATAAGGGGCCTAGACAAGATTGTGTGCATTTCTCCTATGCTTTTCAAGATATATCTGGAAACGGTTTTCAAATTATGGAAAAGAATACGGGTTAGGTTAGGTTAGGTTGAAAACGAGTGGGACTATTACGGCCCTCCACTGCAACTCATTGGTCTATTGTGGCACATGCCTATTTATATTTCTCCAATTATGCCTATTTTTCCAATGAAGTAACCGAAGGTATCACGACATTCACGACAAAACTTGCACTATCACGACATTTTGAATTACTAACTATAACTCTGACCTCCTCACTGTCCAATTCGAAACTCAGTCTTCGCGGGTCGATTCATTTGTTTCGATATCTCTGACCCCACTTAAATATTCTAATAGAACGCAGATCGATAAAATTCTATTTTATCAGTATAAGAAAATGTACTTGGTAATTTTTCTAAAAGTTCAGACAAGTCATGATTCCTTTTAGGAAACTGACAAACAACCTATCACATTTCGAGTAAGTTTATAAATCTTTTAACTCAATTAGTTATCAAGGATAAAGCTTAGAAACTTGAAGTCTGATGAACAAAACACGTTTTTGTAAAAAACCTCTACAAAAACCCGTAGTTTTCGAAACGCGCAAACTTACATTTTAAAAATAATTAAAGCTACTAGACCTTTTTTTTTAAAGACAATCTAATTTCCTAATAAACGAAGTTATTACACAAGAAAGTTGGTTCAATAATAACTGAGCTGTGGCCGATTTAATGAGGCCTTGTTGAAAAGTCGGAAATTTTCCAAGGTGAAATCGAAAGCAGATCTGACGCTCCTAGAGACAACGCGTGCTTACTTTTCCAGAGACATTCATTTTTTTTTTTTTTTTTCTCATTTTGTATATTTATTTGTGAAGTTAAACGCAATTTGCTTCCAGAACACTTACCGTAGGTACCTAAATCTGTTTGATATAAATGAAAACGAATGTCAAGAAAATGAAAATTACGCATTAGTTAGGTATATTGCAACATTAAAGCAGGGAACATCAATTTTTCAGTTCAAGTTCAAAACTAGAAGAACTCAAATTTAGTTAAAGTCTACAAAACCTCTTGAATCGATTAAACAGAAATGTCAATGTCTCGGTTGATTAAGTTTTGTCGGGGAGGCAACACGGCCAAACTTGGATGGAGTCCAAAACACTTGTTGTCATGAGATAAAATACCGGTTCGTGGGAGTCTTTTAAGTAAACGTTTTACGTGGTCATGGCTAACTTTACTGTCTTGCATTGATTGAGGTTTCGAGGCGCCACCATACGCTCAATACTTACTCACTAAAATTATTTTATTGAAGTTGTAAAGTATTGGCCAGTTTATTGATATTAGCCAATTGAATTGAAAGTGGACAATACATTTTACTTTGTTTTATTGCTATGATAAACTTTATTTTTCCCCAAGTGTCAAACAAAGTTGAAATTTTTAGACTACTTTCAGGAGCAAAAGCTAACA